ACATAAATATACGACAAAAATGATTTTAAATATTTTTCTAATAACATAATTATATTATTAATAAAATAAAGCAATTGATGATTATTTGAATACATTTTCATCCGAATAAAATGCTTTAATCGCCAGTATTAGCATGCATCCTTGTTTTAGTTGTTTTTCATATATTCACGACGTTTTATYTTTTCAGGGAAGCTATGCCGGCAACGCAAGTGGATTTACATTGGATACGTTGCCTAAATTGCTCGATACTAGAGCCAACAAACCTAGGGTTACTTTTCTCCATTTCGTTGTCGAAGTGGCGCAGACGAACAATATGGATGACATACTGAGTTTCACTAAGTACACTGCGGCACTTAGGAATCTCTCCAGGTAATAATAATAACAACAATGTAATAATTTGGTCATAACCTCATACGTATATTTTTAATCATGAAAGTTTAAATATATATAAGACGATGTCATCCGCAAATYTGGTTTTAATTTGTTTATTTTTTCTGTTATGGTTCCAACATTATAGGATATCTTTTTTATCGTTGGAAGACGAAATCAACATAAAAACAAAACAGATCAAGAGGTTGCATTCAGAGCTGTCGAAACAAACGAAAAAACAGATATGCGCTCAATTCTCAGGCAAGTACAATTGTGTAAATTATGATTTAAATTAATTTAATTTTTACAAAATGTTAGAAAAATTTCCTATGTTGAATCACTTATAAATGTTTGAATCTAAAGTCAACAAATTTACTATTATATGTAATACATTGAAAAATGAGCCTGACCTCGAGACTTTTCAGCTCATTTGTATTAAATTGGAATTAAACTTAAATAATATAGTTAGGTATGCAGTAAAAAAAAAATATCACGACAATTGTATATTCTAAACTGTTTTGTTTACTTGAATTAGACATATGTATATACTCTGTTAACTTAGTGAATTTAACTACTTTTCGAGCATACGTTTTGACCCGAACAATTGGTAGCCGGTAGGYCAGTCTACTTTGGGGTGTTTTTTTGTTGGGGTGTGAGGGGGGATGAGGGGGTGCGACGCATTTTGATATGTGTACAAACTCATTTTATTTTCTCATAATGAACAGAGTTGTAGTTAATGTATAGCGATTAAATAAAATATTTTTAAACTGTTTAGATTTTATGAAGCAAGCCGTCATTGATATCGAAACTTTAAACAATGAGTATAAAAGTGCGATGGAGGTGATTCAAAGAGTAGCTGTCCATTTCGGCGAGGACGTTAACAAATTTAAAATCGAAGAATGCTTTGCTTTGCTGGGAAATTTCTTCGAGCGTATCGACGTGGTTGCTAAGGTAAGGTCATTTTTGATATTATATTAATGTTCGAAATCATTTAATTAGTTAGGCAGCTTATCGCGGATTCAATAAAACGCTATGTGGACGGACAATAGTCCTTCATAAGACTATATAATACTGTTGAGTATAGTATGTTGTAACTTGTAACGGACCTTATAGTTAGAGATCTAATCTTTTATAGTCATCACTTCATAAGTCATTATTCACGTTATATCATAGCAAATTACTTTTTTACGCAAACAATTGAATACCTACTCATAAGCTATTGTATGTTTGCTACTTAATAAACTATTGTTTGATAGTTTGAGAGATAAAATGATAACAATTCAATAAGTTTTTAAAAAACATGGACACATTTTGAATCCCTATGTACCTACCAATCTTGTTAATAACTGTTAATTTTCTTTTGCTCAACAGGAAAATATAAACCGCAGAATTCAAGAGGAAAAGAATAAAATACTTACCGCTAAATTGGAAAAAGAGAAGGACGTCTCAAATGTTAAGAGGCGTGCACGAGGATCTATTGTACCTAAAGATGAAGAAGTATGCATAGTGGATTTGGTATTGCGAGACATTAGGAGAGGATCGTTCAATTTAAGAAGTGTAAAATCTGAAGGTGAAAAGAACATCTAACACGACATACCAAATATTCAAATTTTTATAAAGAAACACACGCAATGTGCATATTCCACACCATCTATGTTATAATATATTATAAATAATTCCAGAAAGTTGATTAGGTATTATTATTTTAAATATAAAAATACTTTATCATATTGCTTTCTACCAAAATACTATTCAAAAGTATCAATCTTAGCAAATAAGTACTATCAAAAAAAACATTGTAATCTTAATTTCTACCTTACAGTTATTTTATACTTATTTAATTTCTGTACTATTTTTTTTATGAATTATTGTTTTTTTTTTTTTTGACTTTAATTCATATATACTGTTCTTACCACTTTTTGTTCTTTTTTTTTTACGATAATTTAGTATTATAATCAACACCTTATTTATACATTGATATTAACATTTACGATGTCTCCTTATTGTTTTTATTTTTTATAAACTCTTATCGAGGATTATAGAAACAACTAAAAATTTATATATCAATAGTTATGTAGGTTTTAATCTACTAGAATCTAAAATTTTCATGTACATTAGATAATTTATGGATTTTATCGTGCCATTATATGAGTTCAAATGATTTTATTTTTTGATAACCTCTGGTTTTTGAGTTGAATATTACTCAATTAATCTCTGAATTAACTTATATAAGTTGTATTAAATAAAGTTCGTAAAATATTAACAAGTTTTTAACTTGTACAAGAATTTATGTTTATAAATTATATGGTTGATGAAACTTTGGATAAASATATTACATGACGTTCAAGCCTTTTTGGATCTCTGTGTAAGAATTTAAAAAATCCCAATTTTTATAGTTCCAAACTATTTTTTGTCATAAAAACAAAATATTATTCGTGTTTTAAGATACAAATAAAGTACTTTTACACTAATAAAAAATTTTCAAAAAACCATATTTGAACTCTTCATTTTATATGTACACAAAATTTTATTGGAATACAAATAAATGATTAAACTATAGGTATTTTAATAATTTATTACAAGACTGGTTTTWAGGTATCATTACAATATATATATATATATATATATATATATATATATATATTACGTTAAGAATTATGAATTTATATTGAAAATATTAATGATTGTTGACTGTATTAAATAAAAGATATATATTTAATAAAAATTATCATTCAAACTATATAATGATAAGTTAAGTATCTAAATAAACAAAGAATTAATTAAATGCAATTATAACAATTACGATTACATCTTTAGGTTTTTCATAAATTATACAATTAAGTATGACAATTTGAGTTTTAAAGCAAGTTAGCTTGGTGGAAAGATTTCATATTAGTTGTATTCATCTGTGTTCCATGCTAATTTATGCGTTTAGTAAAACTATATTTTAGAATGTGTAAACAATAAAAGAGAAAACTTATCCGTGTTACCTAACAGCTCTACTATACGGTATATATTGAGTGTAGGTACTTCATAAGTTACGAGTAAGTTATTTTAATGTGTGTGTTGAATTTGAATTCAATGATAAATCATTTTGAACATAAACGATTCTGAACTTCAGCTTTCATTACTTAGTATAGGTACTTTAATATTTTAATTTTATGATATAAATAGTAGTAATACTTTATAAATATAGTATCAGTATTATAGTAATGAATTTTGTTATTAGTAAGTTGAATTGGTTTTTTCCAATTTTGATTGGAAGATTTGGTTCTCATGGAATCTTTTGTTGAAATTGATGGCTACATGTGTCGTGGACTGTTTTGATTTTGAGGTCATCGTGAAGTACCTAGTTTGTTTGTTACGTACTATAGAGCTTTGGCAATGAGACGCAGACAAATGTATTGAAATAATTGGATCGTTTGAGTTTTAGAATTTTTGGCTGGCCTTCAAAATACGATTCCATAGGTCCATAAGGGTCAGAGAAATTTTTTATTGTTGTACATTTAAGTCAACACCGACTAACTGTAGAATGGTGTGAATAAGTTTTTAGTATATTCTATTAAGGAAATAGCATAAAATTAATGTAAATATCATAAAATGCAACTGATTATAAAGTATGATGATATATGTAAAAGATTCGAATCTCCACAACAATATTATTTTTTATTTTTTATTTTTATTGATCTTGAAATTTACATAGATAAATTTCTGCTTCGACATCACAGGCCACTAGTGTTACATTTTTAGTAAAATACAATTATATAATAATAAATATGGTTTATAATATCTTAAATAATTTTGATATTTTTTAATTACAACAAAGTAGTTAAAATCGTTATTCTTTGTTTAAATAATTAATTTCATCTGACTTTAAAATTTCTATAAAAAATTGTGGTTTTATATTATTTAGACTTTTAACTCTAGTATGAAATAAGTATGAGAAAAATTTTCAAGTCACCCCAAAATGTTGAACTTCATATTAATTCCTAACTACAAAACAATATTCAAATGCTCGTGAAATAAACGGATTTCGAAAAAATTTGAATTTCAAATTATCATACAAAATAATCATACCTTTGTATGATTAATATTTTAATATGGCTATAATATAACTTACGATGAACATTGTATTTAATTTTCAAATTTTTTTATCAAGCAAATGTTTTGTATGGATATTAAATCTTTAGAAAAAAAATAATAACTGTCAA